GCCATCTCAACAATTTGCTTTTATGATATTATTTGTTTATCTTGTTGTTGATTATGGTTGATTGTTCTTATAATATAATGAACGGCCCTCGATAGAAAACTTTTCCAAAAAACACCATTTTTGTATACACCAGTAATTTTCAGCCTTCCTGCTTATAAGGAAAGATCAGAATAGAAGAAAAACGTGACGTGGTGGGAAGTTCATTAGTTATTCTGATCTGACATTACTAGTTTGCCCACCAACACGCAAATCAACCATTATTCACCAAAGAAACGTTTGCACGCAAGCTCTACATGGACTCCGACGTTTGGACGCGTGCCAGAATGGCGTAACTTTGGAAAACATCGGGCTTCTTCTATGCCGCTCCTGGTCCTCAGCACCACCACCACTTTTTTCTTGACAAATCCTCTCCGTCCGTACTCAATCCATACTTCACAGCGTACTTTTCTCTCTTGGCTCAAAAAATTGACAAGCCACCTCCTTCCCACTTCAAAGTCTACCAGTTCGATTGAAAAATTGCTTTACAAGTTTTACGCCGGAAAAAGTGAATACTCACTTATAATCTCGTATCCGAGAAAATGAAAAATTTATAAATTTCATCGAGATTACAAAATTCCGACACTAATCCTCAGAAAATCGATTCTTTTCAAACTTGCCCAAATTGCCGGAAAATTCAAGGAAACCGAAGAAGCTTAGAAATTTGTGAGAGAAAACGGTCCTATAAGTGGCATAGGACTGCTTTTCGTAAAAATTTATTTACTCGAAATAACTGAAATGTCCCGAACCAATTTGTTTTCCTTGAAAAAGGTCCCGTACCAACTTAAGGAGCAACTAGTAAATCTAAATAAAGTTATAACCTAATAAAGACCTCTCAAACCTACCAAGGTGAACGTTCTCGGTGAGGTATTCCATCGGCGGACCTGTTCCAGTGGCCATTCCTTTAGGACGTCTTTTGTCTTTTCGTCTACACGCATTACACATTCTTTGTTCACACCAAGTAATCGTGGGACGAGTTTGTTCTTGCCGACTAGCTTCTCTAAAAGGGAAATTTTCAAGGAAAAAGCTGAATAATCATCGTCATTGAACTCTCAGAAGAACAATGAGCATAGAAGTGGGGATGGGAAGATGGAGCTAAAACGCAGTTGGCAGAAAGTTTCGAGCTCTTCGCGCAAATCCATCTCTCCATCGACGCGCGCACACTCTATAACGATATCGATGCGCGCCAGCAACGGAGGGGCAGTTTTTCGTTTTGAATTAGCAAGTTTAGAAAATTCAAAAAGCAAATTTTAAGTAAATATTGACCTTTGCAGGACCACAGCTCCCACTGGGCTGGCCATTAGTGGCGATAGCTTGACTGGCATTCACTAATTAGAACCGAACAAAGCAGTGAATGAAGCCGAGAGCGACCACCAACGGACAGCGGCCGGCGAAGACGAGATTTGGCAAAAGCGCGTCGAGGGCGCCAGAGAGCGAGGCAAAGAGAGGGCGGAGGTCGGTGACAGCAGCGGCGATGGCATCGGTAGATGTGGACGACGACGGACGGATGGGGATGGGGATGGATGAACGAATTGGGACGGGGACGGGGATGAACGGGCTGCCCGTAAGCGAGCGACCATGATGAGGGCCAAAGGGCGTCAAGGCGGCAAACGCTGTCACGCCCACACTATTTCGAACCTCATTGAATTGGCAGGCTAATCAGAGACCTCGCAGTCGGCCCGCCAAATCTGGTTTGCGTAGAGTAAATGGTGAAATTTGTGGCCAATGCAGTCATCGCTGCCTTCGATGCCGCCATCGCCGTCACCGCCGCCACCGATGTCAACGGGAAGCCAGCAGCAGCCGGCAGGCCGGCACAAACCTCCGTAGGAAAGGATGAAAGTACTTGTTCAGTAGAGGTCGAACAGCGTGGCCAAGGCAGGAAGCAAACGGCCATAATGAAGAAATAAGTACAACTTCGGGAGTGGAGCTCTCTTCACAAGTTGTACTTGTGAAAAGCTCTAAGAACGACTCTCACTAGCACTCGAGTTCATTATAAGTAATTTCAGCCCTCAAAGGGAGCACTATCCTTCAAAGAAGAAAGAAAATGGCAAAAAGCCTCAACAACAAAGTTCTGCGGACGATCTGGGGGCAGCAATTCCTCGGCCCATGAAAAAAGGTAACCCTGGCTCGACGGGAACAGTTTGATTTCAGTGTTTGCTGTAAGTTTTGAAAGAATTCATTGAGGGCCCTAGAAATGACGTCAAGCGAATCAATCGAGGGAAAAGTCGTGGGCCCTCTCAAGAGAAATCTTTTCCATCAATGTGGAGCTCAACGATGACAAGTGAAGGGGGAAAGGAAAAGTGGTCCTGGAAAACAGGAAAACGAACCTTTTACTAAGAAGAACGTCACACCATAGGTTTTCAGCCCTCGGCACAAGTGCACATACTTGCTTTTTGCGTCCAAATCCGATGTGCCGGATAATTGCTTGTAGTTCTGAATAGAATTATGTAGCTAGGGCTACTTTAACATAAGCACACAATTATCCAGAATGTACATTAGCTAACAAATAGTCTCAGTACTACAGTATCCAAATACTTGTGATGACGGATTCCTACGAAATTTTCCTATGAAATTCCTAATTCCCAATGTGAACGAACAAAATTCATGGAATTTGTCTTTCGAGAAATGGTGGAGCCTAGGAAAAATTGGAAATGGGCGATAGGGACACGATGGATTCATCGGATTGACGTTCCGAAACTCCACTGATGCTCATATTTTGAATAAACGAATGAAATTCATGGAATTTCGGCAAACTAGAAGAGAGAAGCGTGAAAATGCCGTCACCCACTGAACGGAATTCTCAGAAAAGTAAGTTCCAGAAGAAACCCAAATTTCAAGCGCGCACCTGAACGATTTTCTTCTCATTCTCCTTACTTTTCGCATATTCCTTTGGCAAGAAATCACGTCCTCTGAAAAAAATTCGGATAAAAATTATGGATAAATTGGAAAGGTCCACAAAAAACTACGGATAAAATTGATAATTTGTCCAATAAGGTCTACAAGTTGACGAAAAATTATTTATATTATCCATGGAGCTTGTTCGAATTTATGTACTACAAACTCCTTTCCGGATTTCCGGATTTGCTTGATTTTCAATTGACTACAACTTTTAATATATCGAAATATCAAAAAGAACGAAACAGTAATGAATGTTCGTGGGCTTGGAGACACACGTCGTTGCAAACTAATTTATTATAAATTAATTATTAATTAGGGAAATCCAGGTAATCCATAGATCCAGGCACGGGTTACCCTGAAGGAAAGCAATGTGGGAGCAAAATTTGAGAAAATAGTGTCAACACCTTGACATCTCGGACATTTGAAGAGTAAAGAGGGAAGTAGTTGGAGGAGGTACCGGTTATTTCAGGGTATTAAGTAAAGCAGGAAAAAAAGGAACGTGTGTGCAGAAGCAGTCAATTTTTGACTATTCCACAAAAACTGAATATAACTTTCGAAGGGGAAATCCCTAGATCCTTAGAGATCTTTCTGATCTTTGGTGTAACTCCCCCATTCGTAAAAATCCACAAAAGCTCCTATTTTGGTTTTCAAAGTATTATGGAAAGGTGCTTTTCAGATTAAGCAGCTCTACAAGGTCTCAGACCGTTATATTCTGCCAAACTGCAACAACAACTTCAGAAGATCCCTTGGAACGTATAACACCTGAGTGGATCTCGGAAAATTGAAAAATCCTGCAGTAGATTGGGAATCCTTTCGGGGTGATTTTTTCATTTCACATTCTCAGATCACAATTCCTTGATGAGTGTGATTTGTTGCATATGAACAGACTTACCATTTTTCTGAAGCATTTTTTTCCTTTCTCTTTTCCTCTGTCTTCCTTCAAGGCCTGAGCTTCAGCTAAACTTCCTTTTTTTCCTCTCTTGCTTTTGCCTTCCCCGTATGCTTACGGTTTCGTTTGGACTCCCATTCACTCCTCCGAAATTCCAGCTATTTTATTTGGGCCATCCAATTTTTGTTTACTGTGTTCCAGTAAACAAATTCCTTTCAGATGCTGATTTTATGTGTCATAACGGCTCTTCATAAATCATTCCATACATAAACTTCCTTTTCTTCCATTCCTACAGAAAATCGCTCTCGTCACGAAACCGTAGCATACTGTAGGTATTTATAACCCCGGCGAATTCGATGGTTTATTTCCCAGACGGGAGCCCACTCGACAGCTTTGCCTCGTTATTCAATGCTTCTCTCTGCATGTAGCCCAGTGCGCACTCAAAGAGGTTTCTACGAACCGATTCGCTGGAAGAGGGCGCGATGCTAGATGAGGGAGCTGCTGCCGCTACTTCTGCTTCGTTGCAGCTACTGCTGCTGCTGTTGCCGCTAGGGCTAGGGCTAAGGCTTGGCCTACACACTGGTGCCGAGTGCATCCGGCCCCTCAACGCATGCAAATTGCTCAATTGTGCACGACGTGATACGAAACAATAATGAGAGGGGGCTTGCGCTCTCTCCCTTTCTCTCTCTCTAAAGGGGAAAATCGCCCACCACCCCATACAACTGCTTCGCCGAAAGAGCTGCGCCTAACAATAAGAGCAGCATATTCAAGTTCGACTACACTCACTCAACAAATACGACGAAAGCTGGGGAATATGTGTAGGGGACAATTTTTCAGAGAGGGAGGCGAAAGGGTGGGTTTTTTGAGGTTTTTGCCCGGAACAATTCGATTCGATTTGACTCCTGAATGTCCGGTGACACTTGAGATGATCTGAGGCCCAAGTATATTGAGCCATTTTGGTCAGGGGATCTCGGTAAAAGATTTTTCTGCAGTTTCAGTTCTTTTTCACAAAATCACGACCAAGAAATTTGGGAGCCCGTGGGGAAAGGAGGCAATTCCTAGTATGATTAGAGATTTCCTTGGGACCAAGTGAATCTGTGAGGATTGGCTTAACTGCTACTGCTGTTCCAAATTGTGAATTACCCTTAAAGCGAAGCAGAAAAAAATTCCCAAAAACTGCTCATAATTTAGCTGATGAAAAAAAGGTGCAGCACAAATCAGCCAGAGTAGGTAGGTAGTTTCTAATCTGTTTACATCAGTTGTGGTCTACAAGATTTAATCTTACTGGGTCCAGATAAGCCCCTCCAAATCCCGATTTTTTGTTCAAAAATATTTTAGAAGCGGATAACAACGGGATTTGTCTGTTACTGAACATCCAGTAAGCGCATTCTGAAGTCTTAAAATGGATTTTTCAAAAGCAAGAAAACATGGTGTGATGGGACGTTTAAGAGATCGACCACCCCTTGGCTTTTCCAGGGCACGCAACAAAAACATACAAAAGACTTTACAGAAAAACATGTCTCCACCTTTTTCAGGCCAGCAAAAAGGGAGGAATATCCGGGAGTAGGCGATCTCGTAATGTTTGAAATCATGGCTTAACAAAAAACCCCAAGTGGAAGGCTGGAATCCGAACAGAAAGTTTGGTCCAACTATAGGTGGACCAAAGTGTAAAAAAATATTGTATGTAAGTAAATAGTCAAATAACTGACCCCCAACTCGTATTGAGCGCGCTTTTTGATGTATTAAAACGAGTAAAAGGAAACCAATACAGGGAACAACAGCGATGAGAAATTGTGTAGTTGGCTGCAGAAAGGGATGCTAGAATCAGTGGCTCCACATGAGAACAGGAACAAGGTTCAGCAAAGATTTGTAGGAACGGCCCAGTGGAGTAGCCAGTTTCAGTCACTACTGAGAGGGCCTCAGGAATCATTTGACAAGAAAACGTCTACTCCTCCCACATTTGTGACAAAGCCTGGCACTTCAACATATCGAGCGTATTGGGGACAAAAGTAAGGGGAACGTGAAAGGCGGGCACAACTTGCAATTTTTGGTCAGCTCATTTCATTTTCAATATTTTCTATCTAAAAAAATAAGTAGACCTGTCATTTATGACCACTTAGCTTTACCCTGATTGTGAGAATACAGTAAAAGTAGAAATGAGATCAGGACACGTCTACATTCATCATGGAGTCAGGGTGCCAAGAAATGCCCTAAGCGAAATGTGAGAATCGGAGCAGTAAAGTTAGTTCATAGGTTTCCTTTCTAATAAAAGTGAACACGCCAAGTTCACTCCGGTTGGGAGGAGGCATGTATTAACCGAGGCCAAAGAAGTTGAATGTACTAATTCTAAGAAAAATCAGGTAATTTATCTCGTAGATCATCGCACCTTCAAGCAGCAAGACTACAGAGGAAGACTAGAATTGAAAAGGAAGTTACAAAAATGAAATACAGTAGCAAAGGGGTCCAGTAAAAAAGGTATGAATTTTCGATTCAAGCAGGATTGATTTGATGGAGCGGATATTGCCTCGTTTTCGAGAATTTTCTAGGAAAACAGAGTTTAAGTTTTTCGATATTTCTTCTCTCCCACTGAGCTAGTTTCTGGGGAACCGATCTGGGGCCTAGCTTTTCGCCCATACTGCTTGCTCTACTTGGGTACAAACTGTGAACTGAAGCCGAAGTTTATATCCCTACGCATTTAGAAACGAAGAGCCTTTTTTCAAAAGCAGTATATCCGGAGGATCGCCTGCTGACAGCACAAATTGATATAATTCATTTTGACGGCATTCTTTTATCTTACAGCATTACCCATCACCCTCTCAACCCCTAAATAATCCCTCCCGATCAACTGCCAAAATAGTCTCAAAGTCTTTTGCTTTACTGCCTAACCCATTTGTGAGTTATTCCAAAATGATTCAAATAATCGTCCCTTCTATCCTTCGATAATACACCTGATGAAAAGAAGGTGGAGCAGTAATCAGTCAGAGTAGGTGGCTGTTTACGACAAATGTCCAACAATCCACAGGATTTGATTTTACTGGGATTGATTAAATTTCTCCAAATCCTGACTTTTCTATCAAAAATATTTTACAGGCGGATAAAATGAGATTTGTCTGTCACTAAACATCCGTATGCGCATTTCAAAATCCTAAAACGGATCCTCCAACAGAAAATGGATCCATCAGCAGAAAAAGAGCTTGATGTGTTGGGACGCCAAAGAGACCGACCAAGTCTTGGTTCTTCTCGAGCACGCAATAATTATTTACAATAGAATTTACAGAAAAGCATGCCTGCAACTTCTCTAAACCAACAAAAATGGTG